GCGAAACACCCGTTTCGGTTGCACCCTTTATAGGCAAACCTGCATTTATTCCGTCCAGAGCGTTCCCAGTGCAGCGTTATTAATATTTCCTGTCCTCTAGCAACACCGACTGCACTGGACGTTCGTTGTTCCTCAACTTCGACAACGGAACGGTCAACGCCTTGAGTGCGTTCAATTTCGACAATGTCGCCGAGGGTTTCGACTGCACCGAGCTGTTCTAGGCGGTTTGGTGGCAGTGGGACTAGAGAAACGACCGTTGTTCAAATAAGAGGGAGAATTTAGGGCGTTATGAACACTGTTTGGGATTTCCATCACTTCAGATATATTGCAGTAACGAAGCACTCATTTTCGGCTTGAGAGGGCACCTATTTATTTGAAACCACCCGGCCGCGTCTTTACGTCCTGCGGATAGAGTTTGGTTCAACTGATTGGATCCACGCTATTTTCCCACGGTTGACTTTTCCTGTTGCAAAGCATTGGCGTCCTTGAACTGATCTGGGTTAATGACTGTTTCCTTAGTCTTTTCTAACCAGATCCTGTAGCCCGCACCTAGCCTTTAATTTTACGCACATGCAAATTGCTTGTTGATTCAACTAAAAAACACTACAAATGAAAACCCAACTTGGCGGAAACGTTCAACTCTTAGCAGGTGGTGAATAGGTCCGGTCGTCCGGCCGCTTAACAGTGCCTACCACAAATGTCGAGCGATGGCGACATCGGATCGGTTTCCGTATTACGGCCTACCTGTCTATTCTGACGATTCGCGATCGGGAAAACATTCTTTACACGCTGCGCCGCTCCTCATTACAGCCATTTGCAGAACTTAGGGCGCGGGCTGTTTTTTTTTTTTTCTCCACTTTTCAATGATAATCATTATTGTGAGCTCAGTTCTTGTCCGTTTGCCTTGTAAATATGCTCATTGTGTTCGCAATGCAAATGCGGAGGGTACCACGGTCCCCTTTTTTCCTGATGCGATCATAATTGCCTTATTGGGAAAATATTGGCCTTTTTGTACAGAATTTGTCGCATACTCTATGTTATGGTCAGATTGACCTATAAATTTGAGACAACACACTTGTGAGTATTACGAAGGGCTAGAGATGCCGGTATTTTGAATGTGTACTTTATTTCACCGGTATTCTGCATTCTCATGGTGAGAGATATCTGAATACCTTGTATATGAGAAATAGATGTGATATATAAAATACCGGTATCTCTAGCCCTTCGTAATACTCACAAGTGTGTTGTCTCAAATTTATAGGTCAATCTGATCATAACACAGAGTATGCGACAAGTTCTGTACAAAAAGGCCGATATTTTCCCAATAAGGCAATTATGATCGCATCAGGAAAAAAGGGGACCGTGGTACCCTCCGCATTTGCATTGCGAACACAATGAGCATATTTACAAGGCAAACAGACAAGAACTGAGCTCACAATCATGATTATCATTGAAAAGTGGAGAAGAAAAAAAAACAGCCCGCGCCCTAAGTTCTGCAAATGGCTGTAAATTATTTCTCAAGGTGCTGATATTTTTCCTACCCTGTGCAGCTCCTGTGCGAGAAAGCCAGTTCTAAAGAGGTTTAGATAAATCGGAGCTGACCTTTGCCAAAAATTATACGTTCAATCTGGTTCACTGATGGAAGTAGAGGCCGGCCTTGTAACGAACGACGAAATTTACACGTGAACTGGTCATCCCAGTCGCTCGTGGTCAAGAGGGTGGTTGCTCCGACCGAAGGGGCGAGGAGCCGCTCGACGATTTGAGCGGAGGTTGGACGCATCTCAGATCGACTATTCCAACAGTGCTGGAGCAGCTCCCACAGACAGTCAAGCTGTGCTGTTCCGGAGCACGACGGGGCTCGCGTTGGGTGGCCGCCTTGGAGAATCCTAAACATCACAGTGGCATCATTTGGCGAATCGTGAAAGGGAACTTCGCCCGGCAATATCTTCACAAAATTGATGCTAAACCGACGGGGAAGGGAACGGAAGAGAACGAACCTCGAAGCAAGTACAAGCGAAGGCATATATGTCGGAGCCAAGGTGTTTCTTGTTTTCCTGGAATAGTTCGGGAGCATAATAACGTGCCGTTCCTCCCCTCTCGGTGGTGGTTGAATTAAGTCGCAGCGTAATTTCGTTCACAACGAGGCGAGCCCGAAATCAGATATACCGGCCCGGCCTGAAGGTGTTACAAGTATGATGATCTAAGGCCCTTGCTCAGTGAAGTACTTGATTTCAGATATCGTGTACACACCGCCTTCAGGTCGCCGTGTACTACATTTTGTTCGTGAAGGTATCGGAGGCAGAGGGCAACATCGAGAATCTACAGTGCAAGCAGTATCAGCCATTTGCGTAGTCCAACAGCGGGCCTGTATTACAAGTGAAATACGGTGGCCTACATTCTGAGACCGCTTCCCGTGTTCCATCCACGGAGACAGGAAGCACAGTCTGTTTTCGATATAATATAGACCGAAGAGGGGAAGACGATTCGGGTGACAAAGTTGGCGCCAAATGAGGGATTCTCGACCGAATTCCTGGAGGGATATAAACATAGGATCGCTGTTAAGAAGGATATGGGGAGCAGACCTTGACTACCGCCGCAATATTCCGAGAAACGCGCGTTCATGAGCCACGCAATCGAATACAAACGAACTCTGGATGGGAGGTGGTTTAGTGAATGCTTGCGCAGCACTGTTCGCTGTATGGGTAAGAGCTTCACAAGCATTGTCCCAATGACGCGAAGGCATTTCAGGGAAATCATCTAGTTATAAATAAGCTGTTGCCAGAATTTCTGATCTTACCTTGACTGTTGTAGAGACCCTCAACGAAGGTTTTGATTTCTGCTTCATTCTCGTCTTCCCAGAGCCACAAATCGCCATTTATCACCTCCGACCAGTATGATGGATTGAAGATGTGGTGCTCGTTCGTTAGCATTAATCGCCAGCAGAGCCATACTCGGTACTTGAAGTGTGCGTAGGCGGAATACGCTTCAGGAATTTCGACAAAACGACAAAATCGGTGGGCTGAACGCCTGATGGGGTATTGCCGGACGGCGACATGGGACGAGATGGACGACGAGTAAATTGTGAATTACGACGGGCCGGATGTTGTATAATGGACTAGATGTGGCCCCTGGTTTCGCGGGGCCAAGCTTAAGTCGCGGGAGGTCCCATCGTGTCGGGCGGGGGTGGTTTGCTGGGAGTCCATAGTAGAACTGATTGAGGCGGAAAACAACTTTAGCACGACAGCACCGAGTTCCACAGCCCCGCGAAATAGCTTGCAACTGGCTTCGTAATCGGTCCGAAGGAGCAGCACCGAGCCCTTTCTCCGGCAATGAGTCGAGTCCAGAAAATGCATGCCCGGATGAGAGTCACGAAACTTGAAGGCCCCAAAATATCGCTTTGACCATATCAGGAGCTCGATAGGATCGACTCCGGCAGTTGGCCGAAAACTTGTGACGTTCATGTGCTCAGGTTGGTGGAGGAAGAAGGGTGCCGGAATGAGTCTTTCAATTACATAGAACCCGAACTGCGCCCAAGTGACCCAATGAACGTTGAATTCAGATTCAAACCCATCGTGCATTTCCGTTTGGAGGGTATCTTTATGCAAGGTAAGAGGACCATCAGTCAGGATTTCGAGTTCTCTGCAGCTGTTGTCGCCGAAGTCCGAGTCACAAGCCCCGACTCCCTTGCAACTCCCGAGTCCGAATAGAGACCGGCGAGGTTCTGGCACTGGCAACGACCACCGATAAAATCCAATCTTGTCGTCCCGTGCTTCGACCGAAGTTCTCAAGCCGTCTTTTCGAAAATTCGTTGTTGTGGTTTGGAGCAGAAACCGGCTGTGCGGACCGGACACCGCCACATCTTGATTTCGAGTGGCGGTGAGGGTTGCGCGGTTGAATCACGAAAAGAATTGAATTCCTTCTCAAGTAGCTCCTCTGATGCTGGGCCTTGATGAGAGTCATGCTTTCTGAACAAGAAACAGAGCTTAAATGTGGGGCTTGAATCGTCGAGAAGGTTTGAATTAGATTTGATTGAAGAAGCGGCTCAAAGTTCAAACACCTCAGTCCTCTCGACGGAATGATCATCGGTCCGGAGATTTATGGGTGCAGGAAATGATTTCACGGCTCGTACCAGATGATACTTTTCTTTTTCAGAAAATTGCCAAGTGATGGCGAGTTCAACTTCATGGCGCGGGTACTTCCGCCCTCTTGCCGGTCCCTGCCGTTGCAATTGAAGTGTATGGTCATCCGGGATGTGATTGGAGTGCGTATGTAGAGCGTTGACCGCCGAAAACCGCGGGCCAAGCAATCACTTGTTGGAGCGCAGCCAAGGGAAGCCAAGAGCAGTGCACTAGTGTTGAATGAATCGGATTCATGGCCCCAAAGCGATACCTCGTTCCTCGAATTTACCCCGGCGCGGACTGGGCCTTGAGGTGTGGATGTAGCCGACAACATTTTGACAGCCCCCGGTTGCGACGTATGTGGCAGGTCTTGGAAGCCAAGAGATAGCCAAGAGAGTAAGGGTCGGACAAGCCCAACGGAGAGCAAAAATACGCGCGACCATGATTAGCCTGTTGACCCGTCAGACAAAGGTCAGGAGCGGCCGATGTGTACCCAGGTAAAGCGAATCCGTTGTTATGGTTCGATTCTGGTCGCCCAGGTTTAACCAGCTGCAAACCAGCTGGCAGTATTTCTTGCAAGTGCTCGCTTTGTTCGGGCTTTCTGTCTACGAGACCGGAACTCACCGCCGGACAGCGAATTCACCAGGGGAAGAGCAGGGTAGCCTTACCGCAGAGTTGGGAGGGGTGAGAGGGCGTTGAAGGAAGGAAGCGGCCCGTTGATGCCATCAAACTTTGCGTGAGCTTACCCAGCCAAGTTTGGGGCAACTCTAGCTGGGAAGGCTGCGTTTAAATGCTACATTGCACTCCCCTTCCATTTTGTCGAACGCAAAGCAAGAAACAAAACCAAACGCAGCGACCGAAAAATTTGACACCTTATTTGTACGGCCTAGCTCTGATTCGAACAGAGGTCATCTGTGCAAGCTTTACCTAGAGTTGCTTCAAAGTTGACGTAGATGCACTATCCACTTGTGCTACCAGGCCATTGATTCAGATAAGCTTATTTTCATTTGAGTTGGCTTTCTGCAGCTTGGACTCCAACTGGTGGAAACGATAATGTGGTTCAATTGCGGGCTCCAACAGGCGATGCTTCGTTCAACGCAATCCATTCACAGGAAAATAAATGAAGAACGAGGCGAGGCGCTTGGAAGGGTAGGATAAATGGCGAGAGGGTGGACTCGAAATACAAATAAAAGGCAGCCAACAGTACGCTTCTGATGGCCGGACTCCGATTCGAAGAGAGCTCTCCTGTGACTCCTGTCGTAGGGAATATAGGCGCATTAAACACCGTGCCACCAGGCTGTAACCGCTGGGTAGTTTCTTTTCCTTTGAAAGCCTTCTGATGTTTTCAAGAAGTACGCAGTTTGCGGGAAGCACAAATTGTCCGCTAGATTGTTCATAATCCTGCTTGCTCCTTCATACTTCTACGTCTGCACCTACTGAGCAGAATGCATCCGAGCCAGGGTACTTTCGCGAGAGGTGATGCAAGGTTCTGTTTCGCATACGAGGAGCCGCAAGATGCCAGTGATCCGGAACGTATCTCCGACACGCTGCCATGTTCCGACCGCGGGCCGAGGTTGTTTGCTTCCTTGAATCCAACATTGTAACCGTTCCCCTGTTCAATTCCACCGGCATGTAAAGTTAGTGTAAGATACACATCAAGGGAAAGATGCAAGTCGACCACGGCGATCTCACCTTGAATCTCAACTACCGAATTCCAACCGAGACACACAAACGTGCGGTTTCTTGATTTTTTGAACTAAAATTAACCCACCGAGCTGGCCCCAAGCCGCCGTGGTTCATATGGATAAATTTCAGGTCCACATCGCGGCCCTGGTTGGCCCTGGCTGCCTCCCGCAGGGCGGGGTGAACTTGCGCTTTAAATAAATTACATTGCTCTCCCAAAAGAGCGCCAGAAATATCGCACTGTATGTTGACGGCGTTGAATTCGCCTAGAGAGGGCAGAGAGGGGTACCCGACGGGGAATGGTATAAATATATACTGTACAGCTTCAAGTTGTACTATAGGTAAAAATAATGACACATGTTGAACGAGTAGCAGAGAGGGGTGGGTTGGATTGCCGAGGGGCTAAATGCGGGAATCGCTGAATGCGGGAAGAGGACATAAATGAAAACGGGCGGGTACAGTAAACCTTTGTTGCCCGACGGTCTGCGGGTCTGGTAAGTCCGAGAGTCATTCTCAGGTTCAGTACACAGGGACCCGACAAAAAAAATGTAACCGCACCTTCAGGTCAAGGGATTGAGTAAATCCATGTCCGAACGTTTTTCAGACGAAAAGTTGAACATGGGATCAACCATGAGTTGAACTTTAGTTCCACTTCGTGTTCTCGCCGTGCCGAGACCGCATATGCATGATAGCCGCGTCGATGCGGAGAGTCCAGGCGTGAAATCGCGGGCGGAGCGGAAAGATAACAGCCGGGAATCCAAGTTGAAGGGTCAGGTTCACTGCCGTCGGCCAGCAAATACTTAATTAATCAAAGCAAAACCCCTATCCATTATCTATCCCCCATGTTCAACCCGAGCGACCCAGTCTCGCCTCGGCCTTTGCCTCGGCCTCCTTTCGTGAGCGCCGATCCGTCAACCCTTCAACTTCCCGAAATAAATAGATAGAGGATTGTGGACAAGGCGTCACGGAGATACCGCTAGCGGAGGTAGTTGCGGTGGTTGTAGATAGAGATAAGTGGTAGAGATAGAGTTCGCGAGATGCGGGATGCTGGGGGAGGTTGAATTGTGCGGCGCAGACGGAAGGATAAGACTCGGAAGGAATAAACATGTTGTATTTACATGATGCATTAGGAGAGACAGCCGGACACTGTTCGATTGGAGGAACGCGTCGCTTGGTTGGGTTTTTTCCTGCTCGAGAGAACGGGACATCTGGAGAGTCCGTCCGAGTCGGAATTGATTGATTAAAATTCGCCTGCATCCAGCAGGGAAAACATATTCAACGACAAATATGCGCGGAAGAAGTTCTCAGAATAAAAATATGGTTGAGATGTTCAATTCCGTGGCCGGTCCTCGGCCGTACATACACTTTATCTCGGCCCCGCCGCGATGAATAAAGATGACGGTCCGCGGCTCGCGTATTTAGACAACGATGGACAGGCATTGAATATTGAGGAATGACCAGGAGGAATGACCAGGGAATGACATCGCTGCATTGGGATCGGAAATCTCCGTCGGCAGTAGTTCGACCGCCGAGGAGAGTCATCGAGGTTCCGGTGGGGAGTTATTCGGAATCCGATCGGATCTGAATCTGCATATTGAGTTAGGTTGGGTTTTCGTTCCACTTGTTGTATGTAGTATTTTACTGGCTATTCTTGGAATTTTTCGGTTTGGTTGAGATTCGACGTTGACCTCCGACGAGTTCCTCGGCCGTATTCGATAAAGACATCCCGCGTAACTTGATTTTTTAAATTAGATCACCGGAATTTTAAATAGAATAGACTCGGAAATTGCCGGTCGCTTGGAGTTCAACTTCACCGAGGTACGAGCGGGGATTCGGAGACGGTCCGTGTCATTGTCATTCAGAGGACGTCAGTGGGCGTCTGAGATATTTGACCGCGTGCCGGGATCATTGCCGAAGGAAAGGGAAGGGGGTAGAGTTGGCGCCGATCTAAGACCTTGGAAAAAAAGCGTAGGTCGAATTTGGCCGGCTGGAAAAGGTACCGCGTAACACTGCAGAAGCTGTTCCACCAAATCCTCGATGCGCGCCGTGCCGGATTCAAACTTCGTTGATCCACCGACTTCAGACGAGGTCGGCAAGGCAAGGTGTGCCGATACTTACCTCGAGGTCGAGTCACCGGCAACACCCGACGTGTGGGGAAGCAGAGAAACAGGGCGCCCACGGTACCGCAGAGATGGATTGAATTGAAGTCGGCCGTCGGCACGCCAAGCGGGAGGGTTAAACAGCAGGAACGGAACAGAAGATTGGATCCGCTAGCGGAACGAGGCTCGGCAGAGTACGCCCAGAGTACATACGCCAAGGAAGCCAAAGTAAATGCGAGCCCATCGGCGGAGGCGACAATTGCTGAGAGCCAGGGCCTACAGTACGGCAGGGATATCAGTACAGCATAGATGAAACCCTCGAATTTCTGACATGATACATTTATAGAGGGGTGGGATTCGGGAATGGCCGGCGTCGATCGCCGCGGCGTCTTGGACTGAACGTGTTGAAGCAAGTCGGCGCCAGGAACAGTGAGAGAGACGGAACTTGGATTTCGGCACAGCATCGAAGTTGAACATTAGCATACTCTTTGGAACTTTGGCGTCGATCACCGCGACGTCTATTTGTAGTTATACTTCGGCAGTTCAAATGATGCAGAAAGCCGGTCGGCGGAGGCCGCACGCGTCGAGTGAGTGTGGAGGTTCGGTGAGCGTGAGAGTTTGTGCCAGTGGTACGGCAGGGATATTTTGACACAGTGTAGTTGAACATGGAAGTTGAACATATGTGTACCTGGGAACTCTGCTCGATCGCAGCGGCGTCGTCTGCCTGTACAAACGTACGCCAGTCGGCGAAGGCGGCGAGGAGTGAGAGGGATGCTCAGTCGTACGGCAAGGGGGATAGATTTCGGCACATCATAGAAGTTGAACATCACTGGGAATCACCGCGTCGATTGCCGCGGCGAGTGGACGTTACTTCAACAGTCGAAGCAGGCGAGAAGTTTGAATCTGAAACCGATCGGCGGCGTTGAGAGAGATGATGGTACGGCAGGGAGAACCTGGATACTAGGAACATCGTAGAAGTTGCAGTTCAAGTTGAACCTCCCCGGGAATAGCCGCCTGGATTCGCCGCGGCGTCTATTTAGTTTTAACATGCAGCAGTGACCGGGAATCGCCGCGGCGTCTATTTAGTTTCAACATTCAACAGTGAGAAATCGAAGTTGAAGCCCGGCGGCGTTGGAGATATGGTGATACGGCAGAGAACTTGGATCTAGGCACAGCATCCAGGTTGAAAATAACTGGAGTGAGTAATGATAGCGTCGACGTCGACGGAGCAAAGTGAGTAGCGCCAGCGAATGTGTCTCAGGCTCCTTGCAGGCTGCCGTATGACTATCCCGCATTAAAGTTGGATTGATTTCGGCACCGCCATCATCAAGTTGAACATAGACCTGGCAGGGAGAATATTAAGGAGCCGGAGCAAACGGGCCAATGTACGGTGATGTTGGAACGTTGACGCCGTCGTCGGCAGCGGCGAATGGGAGGGATGGTCGTACGGCAGCCTACAGGGATTAAAATTGGGTTGATTTCGGCACAGCGAACAGGAAAGTTCAACACAACATAATGATATAGCTGGGGAATTTGCCGGCAATCGCCGTGGCGTCTATTTGAACGCACATACATACTTTGGCAGTTAAACCTTAAACAGGTGAGAAGTTGTAGTTGTGATTTGAAGCCGGGCGGCAGCTGGATTTCGGCACGGATAGAAGGTATGGCAGTTGCCATTGGGAAGACTAAGCAGGTCGGTCCAGGTCTCGGGCAACCACCTTTGGCAATTTGGAATTGGGTCGTGGCGTAGTAGACTGTGGCGGGTGAGATGGTACGGCAGAGAAGTTCGATCTCGGCAGGTTGAAAATATTAAGCGTCACGAATAGTGTCGACGTCGACGGAGCAAAGATGGAATTTGAAGCTGGTCGGCAATCAGGCTGCGAGGGTGCTCGTACGCCAAGAATGATATTATTGAACTTCAATCTCGGCACAGCGATAGTTGAACATATACCTGGCAGGGAGAATATTACAAGCGCCGCGGAGCCGGAGCAAACGTGCCAATGTACATCCAATCGCACCTGGTGAGATGTTCTAACGTTGCCGCCGTTGTCGGCAGCAGCGAATGGCGGGCCCAGTGCGGGATGGCGTACGGCAGCCTACAAGGATTAAAGTGGGTTGATTTCAAATTGAACAGGAAAGTTCAACACAACATATGATTGGGGAATTTGCCGTCGATCACCGCGGAGTATATTTGAACGC